GTGACCCCTGTGGGTGACCGCAGCACCCCTAAATGATCCAAACATCCCTGAGTGACCCCCAGCACCCCTGAGTGACCCCTGTGGGTGACCCCACCACCCCTGAGTGACCCCTCTGGGTGGTCCCCAGCACCCCTGGGTGACCCCAGCACCCCCGGGTGACCCCTGCGGGTGACCCCAGCACCCCTAGGTGACCCCAGCACCCCTAAATGATCCAAACATCCCTGAGTGACCCCCAGCACCCCTGGGTGACCCCTGCGGGTGACCCCAGCACCCCCGAGTGACCCCTGCGGCTGACCCCAGCACCCCTGGCTGACCCCAGCACCCCCGGGTGACCCCTGCAGGTGACCCCACCACCCCTGGATGACCCCAGCACCTCCGAGTGACCCCTGTGGGTGACCCCAGCACCCCTGGCTGACCCCCAAAACCCTCGGGTGTCCCCGAACCCCCCGCGGGACCCCGGGCCCGCGTCCGGCCGCGGCGCCTCACTCGCTCCCCGCGGTCGGAGCCACCGGGCGCTTCGGGGGCTCCCCGGGGACGGCGGGGTGACACCCCGCAGCCCAAAATCGGGGTGACACGGTGCACCCCAAATGCTGCCAGGCCCGAGGAGGCGGGCTCCGAGATCCCGGCGCTGCCGCGGGAGGTGCTGCAGGTGCTGAGCCAGCGGCTGGGGCACAGCGTGGCGCTGGGGACGCGCGCCGGGGACCGCGCCGCCGGGCTGGGCCAGGCGCTGCTGCTCCTCAAGTTCTTCAGCATCATCTGCAGGTGGGTGACCCCCCAAATCCCCGCTGCTCCCCCTCGGCCGCCCGCCCCGAAATCCCCGGCTCCAAAATTCCGTCCTCACCGGGTCTCGCTTTGTCCCAGAGCATCCCTTGGATTTGGGGATGTGCGGCCCGCATCTCAAAAAAAAATACACCCACAGAATTCCTCCCTGAGGGGAAGCATTGTGAAGTTTGGGGTCCACCCAAAATCCCCTCTAAAGCGCAGGCCGTCTTTAAAAATAATTAATAATAATAATCGCAGTAGTAATAATGGTAATAATAACAGCGGTAATTCTGCATAATGCAAAATAACAAAATGTTTGGAAAATATAATCGTTTAGAAAAGGAATTATAAATGTGAAATTGTGAACGTTAATTTGTAAGTGTTAAAAAATGTTATTGCCCCCCAAAATTCTGTCATTTCCCCCAGTGTAGTGCCCCTCCAAAAGTGCAGCACATCTGTAAAAATAATTATTTTTAAATCGTGATATTAATAATAATTATTATTTATTAATATTATATATTATATATTATATATTATATATTATATATTATATTGTATTATATATTATATATTATATTTATTATGTGTATTTTATATATTATTATATAATATATTATATAAAATATATATTATATATTTCTATATTATTATATATAATATATATTATAATATGTATTAATAATAATAATGTAATACAATAAAAAATATAATAATCAAAAAACACAATTTCCCCTAAAATTTCATCATTCCCTTCCAGTGGAGTATCCTCCCCAAAATGCATTATATCTCTAAAAAAATTTTTTGGAAATAATTAATGTTATTAATGGTTAATGTATTTGACAGTAATCATGACTATAATAATATAATCATGTAATGTAATTAAAATATAAGAATAGGAAACCATTATTCCTCCCAAAATTCCATCATTTCCCCCCCCAAATTGCATCACATCTCTAAAAAATAAAATTAAATTATTTTTATTATTAATAACAAACATTAATAACACAACATAATACAATAAAAACTGTGTAAAATAGAATAATTTTTTATGGCATTTTCCCTGCTCCAAGCACTTTATTCCCGCGCAAATTTCCCTCTTCCTCTTCCCAAATTCCCTCCCGCCCTGGTGCGGGATGGATTCCCGACGTTTTCCGTTCCAGGAACCTGGAGAACATCCAGCCCGACCGGAGCCCCGGCTGCCTCCCGCACGTGCTGCGGCTGCTGCGGCTCTGCGGGAGCCAGGTGGGAACGGGAGCGGGAACGGGAATGGGAGTGGGAACGGGAGTGGGAATGGGAACAGGAGTGGGAATGGGAACGGGAATGGGAACGGGAATGGGAGTGGGAACGGGAACGGGAATGGGAACGGGAATGGGAACGGGAACGGGAATGGGAGGGGGAATGGGAATGGGAACGGGAATGGGAGTGGGAACGGGAACGGGAATGGGAACGGGAATGGGAACGGGAGTGGGAACGGGAACGGGAATGGGAACGGGAACGGGAGTGGGAATGGGAATGGGAACGGGAGTGGGAATGGGAGTGGGAGAGGGAATGGGAATGGGAACGGGAATGGGAATGGGAACGGGAATGGGAATGGGAATGGGAGTGGGAATGGGAATGGGAACGGGAGTGGAAATGGGAGGGGGAATGGGAATGGGAGGGGGAATGGGAACGGGAGTGGGAATGGGAGCGGGAATGGGAATGGGAGTGGGAATGGGAGTGGGAACGGGAATGGGAGCGGGAGCAGGAATGGGAGTGGGAACAGGAGCGGGAATGGGAGTGGGAATGGGAATGGGAACGGGAATGGGAATGGGAGCGGGAGCAGGAATGGGAGCAGGAACAGTAATGGGAGGGGGAACGGGAACGGGAATGTGAGCGGGAATGGGAGCAGAAGTGGGAGCGGGAATGGGAATGTGAGCAGGAATAGGAACGGGAATGGGAGCGGGAACGGAGTGGGAATGGGAATGTGAGCGGGAATGGGAGCAGGAACAGGAACGGGAGGGGGAACGGGAGCAGGAATGGGAACGGGAATGTGAGCGGGAATGGGAGCAGAAGTGGGAATGGGAATGGGAGCAGGAATGGGAGCGGGAACAGGAGGGGGAATGGGAATGGGAGCAGGAACGGGAATGGGAGTGGGAATGGGAACGGAAATGTGAGCGGGAATGGGAATGGGAGGGGGAACGGGAATTGGAGTGGGAATGTGAGCAGGAATGAGAATTGGAATGGGAGCAGGAAAGGAAATGGGAGTGGGAACAGGAATGGGAATGTGAGCAGGAATGAGAATGGGAACAGGAGTGGGAGCGTGAATGGGAGTGGGAGCAGGAACGGGAGCAGGAATAGGAGTGGGAATGGGAATGTGGGCAGGAATGAGAATGGAAACGGGTGCAGGAGCGTGAATGGGAGTGGGAACAGGAGAGGGAACAGGAATGGGACTGGGAATGTGGGCAGGAATGAGAATTGGAATGGGAACGGGAATGGGAGTGGGAATGGGAATATGAGCAGGAATGAGAATGGGAACATGAGTGGGAGCGGGAACAGGAGTGGGAATGGGAATGTGGGCGGGAATGAGAATGGGAATGAGAGCAGGAATGTGAATGGGAGTGAGAACAGGAATGGGAGTGGGAATGTGAGCAGGAATGAGGATTGGAATGGGAACAGGAATGGGAACAGGAGCGGGTATGGAAATGTGAGCAGGAATAAGAATGGGAACAGGAATGGGAGCCGGAATGGGAGTGGAAACGGGAATGTGAGTGGGAACGGGAGTGGGAATGAGAATGGGAACAGGAACCATGTTGGGAACGGGAGTGGGAACAGGAATTGGAATGGGAATGGGGACAGGAGCGAGAATGGGAATGGGCATAGGAATGGGAAGGGTCATGGGAATCAGAATGGGGACAGGAATGGAAACAGGAATGGAAACAGGAATGGGAATGGGAATGGTCATGGGAATGAGAATGGGAAAGGGAATGGGAACAGAGCTGGGAATGAGAATGGGAAAGGGAATGGGAACAGAGCTGGGAATGAGAATGGGCAGGGCCTGATTGGCTGGGGAAGGGCTCAGCGCTGATTGGTCACTGAGTCCATACATTATGTGAATCTGGGCTCTGATTGGTCAGCAGCTCTACAGGTTGTGCTGATCAGGGATTTGATTGGTCAGTGAGTGCACAGGCTGTGTGACTGAGTTCTGATTGGCCAGCGTCTCTATAGGTTGTGTGAATCTGGATGCTGATTGGTTGAGAGCCCTACAAGTTGTGCTGCTCTGGGATTTGATTGGCCAGCAGGTCTCTAGGGTGTGTGATTCCGGATGCTGATTGGTCCATGAGTCCACAGCTTCTGTGACTCTTGATGTTGATTGGTTGAGAGCTGTACAAGTTGCATTGCTCTGTAATTTGATTGGTTCATGAGTCCATAGCTTGTGCTACTCTGGTGCTGATTGGCCAACAGCTTTGCAGTGCCTGGTGCTGATTGGTCAGTGCAGCTCTGAGTTCTCATTGGTCAGCAGCCCTACAGGTGGTGCCACTCTAGCTGCTGATTGGTCAGTGCATCCCAGCTTGTGCTGCTCTGAGCTCTGATTGATTGATTGATTGATGGATGGATGGATGGATGGACGGATGGATGGATGATGGATGGATGATGGATGGACGGATGGACGGATGGATGATGGATGGATGATCCCATTCTCCCCACAAAGAGGAGTTCCCCACCCCAAAAAAAACCGCATCCCGTTTTTTGGAGCGTGTCAGGGATTAAAGCTCGGCTTTCCCGGCAGCTGCGGAACATCCCGGGGGACGAGCGGAGCCGGGCACAGCTGGAAAACAAGGGGACACAGCTGGAGAGCCAGCAGAACGGGGCACAGCTGGAAAACGGGGCACAGCTGGAGAAGGGGACACTGCCGAAAAATGGGGCACAGCTGGAGAGCCAGCAGAATGGGACACAGCTGGAAAACGGGACACAGCTGGAGAAGGGGACACGGCCGGAAAATGGGACACAGCTGGAAAATGGGGCACAGCTGGAGAGCCAGGCACAGCTGGAGAGCCGGGCACAGCTGGAAAACGGGATGCTGCACGCCCTGCACCTCTGCGAGTGCTTCCTCGACCCCTACCAGACCTGGCGGCGGCAGCTGAGCGGGTGAGGGGCGCCCCCCGCCCCCCAAATTCCCTCCCCTGTCCCGGATCCCCTCCCCTCACCCCTCTCTTTCCAGGGAATCCATCAGCTCCAAGGAGAAGAGCAAATACAAGTTCGCGCCCGCTCCGCTGCCCCCCGAGTTCGGTGCCTTTTTCCAAGGTAAAAGCGGGATTTGGGAAAGGGAAGGGTCGGTGTGGGACCCCTAAGTGGGGAGAGGGTCCAGGGATGGGGGGTGCTGGGGTAGGGGTGGGATCAGGGAATATTTGTAGGATCCGGGGAGGGATGGTGTGTTCAGGGGTAGGTATTGATCCAAGGACCTTAAAGGATCCTGCACCTGCTCCAGGTTATCCTGGACTTGTCCCACAAATATGGGATCCCATACCTGCTCCAGGTTATCCTGGACTTGTCCCACAAATGTGGGACCCCACACCTGCTCCAGGTTATCCTGGACATGTCCCACAAATATGGGATCCCACATCTGCTCCAGGTTATCCTGGATTTATCCCACAAATATGGGATCCCACATCTGCTCCAGGTTATCCTGGATTTATCCCACATCTGCTCCAGGTTATCCTGGACTTGTCCCACAAATATGGGATCCCATACCTGCTCCAGGTTATCCTGGACTTGTCCCACAAATATGGGATCCCACATCAGCTCCAGGTTATCCTGGACTTATCCCACACCTGCTCCAGGTTATCCTGGACTTATCCCACAAATGTGGGACCCCACACCTGCTCCAGGTTATCCTGGACTTGTCCCACAAATGTGGGATCCCACATCTGCTCCAGGTTATCCTGGATTTATCCCACAAATGTGGGATCCCACATCTGCTCCAGGTTATCCTGGATTTATCCCACATCTGCTCCAGGTTATCCTGGACTTATCCCACAAATGTGGGATCCCACACCTGCTCCAGGTTATCCTGGATTTATCCCACATCTGCTCCAGGTTATCCTGGATTTATCCCACATCTGCTCCAGGTTATCCTGGATTTATCCCACACCTGCTCCAGGTTATCCTGTACTTATCCCACAAATGTGGGATCCCACACCTGCTCCAGGTTATCCTGGATTTATCCCNTGGATTTATCCCACACCTGCTCCAGGTTATCCTGGACTTGTCCCACAAATGTGGGATCCCACATCTGCTCCAGGTTATCCTGGATTTATCCCACATCTGCTCCAGGTTATCCTGGATTTATCCCACATCTGCTCCAGGTTATCCTGGACTTATCCCACACCTGCTCCAGGTTATCCTGTACTTATCCCACAAATGTGGGATCCCACACCTGCTCCAGGTTATCCTGGATTTATCCCACATCTGCTCCAGGTTATCCTGGATTTATCCCACACCTGCTCCAGGTTATCCTCTACCTATGTCAGGATTATTGTAGGATTCCAGGGCAAATGTAGGATGCCGTTCCAGGTTATCCTACACCTGCCCCAGAAATTTAGGGTCCTGTACCTGCTCCCGTGTCCTGGGAAGAGGAACGGGATCCCAAAGCAGGAATTAAGCCCAGCAGCACCTGCAGAACCCACAAAAACCACCCCCAAGGGGGATTTTTATCAGGGAAGCCCCAAAATCCCCTTTTAGAGGCAGCGCCGTTGCAAAAATCCCCTAAAACTGCGGCCCGTAAGCCCCAGCTGAACCTGAGGGTGGCACAAATCCCCATTTTTGGGGCCAAAACCCCGTTCCTGGCACAACCAGAGCTGGAACACCTGGAGCATCCTCACCCTCCCCTCCACCAGCAGGGTCCAGCACCCCCATGGGTGGATTTGGGTAGGAAAGGGATTTTTCCCTATTTTTTGGCTGAAAAAATGATTTTTTTTCTTTATTTTTAGCTAGAAAGGGGTCCTTTTCTCTTTGGTTTTGGGCTGGTTTTTTTTTGCTGTTTGCTCCTCTGATGAAATCTGTCCCTCCTCATCCTCACAGAGAGTTTCCAAGGTGGGAAGCAGCTCCCGGAAACGATCCAGCTCCGGATTATCCATCTTTTTGGAGCCATCCTCTCCGGATCCAAGGTACCCATGGGAGCTCCTCATTCCAGGGATAAACCCCAAAGTTTTGTTCATTCCAAGGCTGGAATTAAACCAGTGAATTTTCCAAAGCTTTTAAAAATCATGTGTATCATTCCAGCCTTAAATTCGGTGGGATCGGCTCAGAAACGTTCAATTAAGGAATTAAATTCAAGAATTAAAGTATTAAA